AATATTGCAACAACAAAAAAAGCGCAAGCCAAAAATAAAGAAGGAAAAACTGCGGATGAAGAACTGATCGTCTTCGCTCCCGTAGATGACATGGATCAAACAGATTTCCACTTTAATCCTTCAGCGTTTTTTCGAAGCCAGCAGTGGTACAAACACAAATACGAAATCGTCCAGGCGTACACATTTTCAAAAATCGTGAAATCATCATTCCGTCCCGGAAATCAATCCCAGAATTTAATGACACCATCCCAGCCGGCGGAAGCAAGTTTTGAGGTCTCATGTGGATGCCAAAGCACGGAGATGCAAACTTTGTCATGGGCTTTCCACTTGGTAAGCATCCGAGAAGTTTTCCAGTCCCACACGTAAACTTTTCCATCCGCGTCTCCAGATACCAAATAACTGGAAAAAAACACGATCATTAATCAATTAAATAGATTCTTACGATAATAAAATAACATTCTCTCTTGCGAAGTTCGCAGATTTTTGTGAGCAATTTAAAAGCGGCAAGCTTCGAACTTAAGACTGAGCACAAGAAACTAACCTCATTTCAGGTGAGAAATCAATGCCACACGCATAACCAGCCACCATGTGTCCCTTGAAAGTTTTCTTTCGATGAAACTTGAATCGATTTATCGCCGAGAAGATGACGATTTTGTTGTCCATTGATTGACAAGCAAGCCATTTCTGGTTCGGCGACAATGTCACAGCGGGCATCGAGTGCATGGACGGGTCTGCGATGTACTTCATATCAACCGGAATATCCCTATAAAAAAAGACAGAAAAGTTTGAATATTCTGCAGTAGTGTATTCAGCAAATGTAATTCAAGAGGATCTAGTTTTCTACTAACCATTCCCAGATTCGCATGCTCTTGTCATCAGATGTGGAAACGAATCGCCGATTTTCATCGACGAAAGTTATTGTGTTCACGGCTCCCAGATGTCGGTCGTACTCCTGAACAGGATCTTCAGGGGTTCTCACATCCCACTGTGGGAATAAATGAATCAGTTAATTTTGATCAGATAAAGCAGATTAAAACCAAAAGACATCAGCGTCGCTAAAACTTAAGAACGCCTAACTTATCGCTTTGAAGAAATACAGCCCGAGACTCCAATTTTCATTGTCATTACACAGATGTCGCAAGAAAGTTTGAAAATGTACTTTTCTCGAATTCCGGCTAACTTTTCGACAGATTGGTACAGGTACAGTTTAATTGAAATTTAGCCATGATAATCTTGTCAAAATTGTGATACAGGCGACACTTTTCCGACATTGCGGAAGGCTAAAATCCCTAAATTGAAAAAGGATAATTATTTACTCACACAAACAATTTTCTTGTCGCTCATGCCAGCAACGAATAAATTTTGCTTATCTTCGTCCGGGTTGAATTTTACGCAATACGGAACCTTCTTGTTTGTGAACCTGAAGGAAATAAATTAGAACGTTACACCATAAAAAAATCGTGTTCACGTATCAGACAATTAGAAAACTTACTTCTCTATACATTGTCCAGTTTCTGTGTCCCACAGTTTGATGTACCGGTCATAACCAGCAGATAAAAACCGAGTTCCATCGTTGTTGAAGCTCACATCTCGAACGGCTTGCCTATGACCCATGTAAGTTCGCACGACTTTCCTATTCCCGTACACTTGCCACAACTGGACAAACAAAATTCGAAAAAAATCAATATAAAAAGAAACGCATCAGAAAAAAATCAGCCCTCTCATGTGACCGGGATTCCGGAAAAGTTCTCGAGAGACATTTTCAAATAACTACGAATCTTGAAAGAATTATTGTTGGCGCCAAAAAATAATTCTTCCAGAAATTTTTTGATAAGGATGGAATGCGATGCGAGACGTACCTTGATTTTGGTGTCCATAGAACAAGACAACAATAGATGTGCGTAACGAGGAAACCATCGGATTGCTGAGACGGCTTTCGAATGCCCTTCCCAAGTGTGAATGAGTCTCTTGGGAATGAAACACTTGTGAGGCGGTTCTTCCGACCGCAAATTGACACCGACATCTTGCGGTGGATGCATGAAGCTCCTGCCTTGATAATCTTTCTCTTCTTTGACTGTAATATGAAAGTTTTCATATTTTTGAAAAACAGAACACAGTAATTATGCAATAACTTGATATTTAAAAAGCTACGCTTCACAAAATAATTTTAGAATCACCACAATTAACTTACGATGCAGCACGGACTTCTCTTCCATTGGCTTTTCCTCCACTTTCCGATTGCGGCGCTGTTTTTTTGCGATGTATTCTGCAAGATACTCCTTCTCTTCCTATTAAAGAAACAGAAGCGATTGTAATTTTACTACCCTGACATATCATACAATGCAAATATTATACAGATCCTGGAGGACTCCCATTTTCTATTGAAATACAGCGTGCAAGTAAAAAATTGCCTTCTGAAGGAAAATCGTATATGATTATGATTCGTAACAGAAGTAGTTAAGGACAAGTTCGACGGAAGTTCATCTAGACCCTCTTATACCTAATCAAATTAACTCACTTCCGTCGGGCAAGCGACACGTTGCTCGTCCACGAATTTTCCCCAAGGGCCCAGATAATTTTCCACGTCACCAGGGTCATCGTTTTTCTCTCGCTTCCGTTTGTCTTTCGGTCGAACTTTCGTACTTTCAAACACAGAAGCAAGCTTATTTTCTGTCGCCAAATCCTTCGATTCATCCGAAGCTGTGACAATTCTGGGCTGTTTCACGGTTCCAACAGTCGTAATATCTTCGGCTACACTCGGATCCTTCGCATACCCTAAAATCATCGGTAAGGTGAAAATGATCAAGAAAACCTGGATAAATTAATGCGTTTGAACATTGAGAAATCAAGTCAAGAAAAGGGCGAAGGTTTCGACGAGGAAATGACATATACAGTGCAGTTCTTCAAACTCACGAGCTTGATGCATCCACGATTAAAAATTCAAACCAAGACAAATCGTACTCTCGCCACATTCAATGCAATCTTTTATTTTTACATACACTGAATCTCGTTACCTTACGTTTCCTAAAGAAAAATTATCTTCGGCTATTAAATTATTGAATGGATTACAGTACTGTATATTAAACAAACCTTATGCGATTTATTTCGGATACGGTGAGATTCTTTCTGGGCAGATCATTGATTCCAGCGACACCTGCTCGTCATTCGAGGAAACAAGGGTTGACGAGAAGGTGACACACTATTCTCAAACTGTTGAGAAAATCTTGACTGCATAACAACTGAATGCCAAGAAAGAAAAGATGTTTTAAAGGCACTCACCGAAACTGTTGAACGTCCTGCGTTCTGACTCGAACTGAAAATGATCGACGTGGGCGGGTTCCGCGAAACCCGCAAGAACGTTTTTCGTTGCCAACTGCTGCTTGGTTTTGAACGGGTTCGACGGTCCTACAACCGGTGCATACAAATCTTCCAATTTCGGGTTAAACTTCAGCTCTTTTGTTTTCGGGTCCACTAGCTCCCTCGAGTCCAAAGAACACTGTTTCGTGATGCATGAAAAAAAGATACACGACTATTTTCACACGGACATTGTTTTATAACTCACGTTGGGAACAACGTCCGGGGCAGCAACAATGGCCATAGACGTGGACGCCACGATTTCTGGCAAGGGTCTCAAATGACCCGCCACGTCTGCAATCGGTGGCGGCGGCGACGCATCTTCGTCACTATCATTCCCATAACTTCTCAGAGACAATAACGCCGACATTTTTCACACACTATTTCAAATCTCGTTCTATGTCATTCTTAAATGGAACAAATGCATAAAAAAGTCGTTCAATATTTATTGAGAGGAAGATTTGCCCAAAATACCAGGAATTCGACACGAATTTCCCACAGAGTTGATCCAATTACTCAACTCGCCCAGTTGCAGAATTAATGTCAAAACATATTTCTGACGTGACGCACATTCAACTGGGAACACTTCAATTCCTAATACTCCGGAACCTATGAAGAAAATGCCTAGAAAATCACAGGGTGGCTTTCATTGATTAACAAGGGGTCAAGTAGGTTTATAGAGAACAAAACCGTCGCAAACCCGTCTTACATACAAATCCAATTATTCGGACTTTGAACTAGCACAGCATCATTTACTCTAATGATGTTGATTTAATGAAACGAAACAAAGCAGTCTAATCAATATCAATTCGAGTCGGTTTCTTTTCAGGATATTTGTACAAAATAGAAATTTCGAACAGAATCAAGACATTTCCAACCTGATTATCGTATCTTAGAAAATTTAAAATCATGAAAGATCGCAGATTTTTTACTATCTGGGCAGAAGAAGTTGGGTATTCGGAATTCAACTTCATCTTTACTTTCATTCGAACAGGATAACTTCCAAGAGAACGTCTCAATTCTCATTTATCCAAAGCTACGAACGACGATGTTTGTGGCAGGAAAATCACTCTGAACAAAGTCGTTTGATCGCCATCACACGATCGACTAAAACAATCAATAACTACGGTGGTACCCCGGATAATCGACACCTCGCATAATGGGCTTTTCGCACGATGGACTCCGACTGCCACCGATTTTTGGAACCCGATTCGGATAAAGAGATTGCGTGAAAATTATTAGTCTTTTAAAAAAAAGTCTGTTGCTGCGATTTTTCTGCATAACTTTCCCAGAAGTGGGTGAATCATTTTCAGTAACAGTTTCCTAGGCTGCATAAAGCATTGGTTTTTTCACTTGTTTCTTCTGCATATCATTCATTTTCTTTGTGGAAAATGTATCGATCGAGTAATTCATTAAAGAATGTACGAAGAAAATACCAGAAGATCTCGAACGAATCAGTTATTCTTCACCAGCTTCACTTATTTGAAAAGGTTCTTCAGGGGAATTTCGGAGTCCCTTCACTGATCAATATATCTTGCTTTACATTTATTAGTGCATATCTTTCGGATAATGGACTTCCCAATGGAACGGATAGAGTCGACTAACCGAGGCACCACTGCACCTCAAAACCAACAAACGCTTCGTGATCACGAAAACCTTTTTCAAACAAGAAACAAAAAGAAAATTTCAATAATTTCAAATCACGAGATTGAAAATAACACTCACTTCTCGGCAAAGAACCCAAAAAAAACAAAAAAAATTAAGAACACGAATTAAGCCAACAAGGCGGCCCCGCGATGGTTGATCACTTGATCCCGCATTCGCTCATACCAAGGCCCAATGTCGGTATTGGCGAGCAAATCTCGGAAGGCGTCGCACCCTTCGATTGCCGTGAGGACTCCGTAAATGGCAAGATCACCCAGGTTGGGCGCATCGCCGCCCAAAAACGGCGTCTTCTTCCGCTTCAAGTGCCTCGTGAAGAAACGCGCTTCGTCGTACAAGGATATCCGAACGTCGTCCTTGAGCCCGTGGCGGCGCTTGAGACGCTTGCCGATGAAATACATGGCGGTGGCGCCGACGTATACGACAAAACGTTCGCTCGAAAAGTTCTCCCGCCAGTGACCCCACTGCCAAAAATAGTTTTAGCATTTCAACTATGATTATACGCGGTGGCCTCAATTGTCAGTTTCGCATAAATTTAATATTATATCAATGAATCCATATTCGTGGCTGTAAGTAAAACGTGAATTTTTACTGTATTCTATGTCTTTCAAGAACCAATTTTTTGGCACATGCTTCAGTTGAAGGTTGCAAACTCATGAATATTTCAACTGCGATGATGGCTGCAAATATTTGTTCATTGTATTTATTCGAGTGAAAATGGCACTTTTGTCGTCAGAGAACATCAAAAATCTAATGAACACTGGGGAAAAGCGATGAGTTTCGTAATACCACACTTCTACTGTAATTGCTTGACAAAAGTGGTTGGTTTCATGCTCATTTTATCAAGACGTACCTCAGAAAACCAATTGAAAGCTTGCAAAGCTTCATCAAAAGTCCTATAAACATTGGGTGATAGCACATGCACCAAGACCTCATCCGCCCATTTCCTCCACATTCTCTCTTCCCTGTCGTGAAAAACGAAAAACAATTCAAGATTTCGTTCGAAATTCATAAAAAAGAATAATTTCGACTCACTGCAAGTCCTCTTTCGTTTTGCCCATGGGAATTCCGTCAAACATGATGAAGTACTTGTTCATCACTTCTTGAACCAATTTCCCATTTTTCTCTTCTGCTACATATGGAAAAGTTTCTGCCATTGCCTCAATCGTCCTTATTTCACGGCCTTCTTTCTTTTCCAACATTAGACTCGTCAAGGCAGAAATGATCATTGAGCTGTCATTCATTTGCTGCAAATTCAAATTCTTAAAAACATTCAAAACAAAACGGAAATAAATAGGGTTCTTGCTTCTTGCTATATATAACCTTCAACGCCCCACTTTGCTTTCCAAATAGTTTCACTGCATCCCGAAGTGAAAATGAATGAAACAAAACGGAATTAAAATCAGTAGTTCGAAATTGTACAGAAGTAAGGGGACACTTCAGAGATAAAAAATCAGTATGTAGCAAAAGTCGAGAGCTGACGGAAAAGAACCAAAAATATAATTGAAATTACCTGCACCGAATCTGACCCTTTTTGATGAGCTAGAACAATCGGAACTTTTGACCAGTGTTTTGACCATCGAAGTTCTTTTCTCATCACAGGGTTAACTTCTACAACGTCATATGGAAGACCAAAATAGTCCATGAACACACGAACTTTGCAGCAAAATGGACAGGTTTGATATTGATATAACGTGATCTTCACATCCAGGGGATTTCCCGCCACTGCATCGTTCACCTGTAGACATATCCAACACTTTTAGAAATGGGATTCTCAAACTTTTTTCACATACACCATCGAAATAGACGAAAACTGTAAGAAAATTCTCAGCGAATAATTCTGAAATTTCAACCCTCAGTATATGAATTTTAGAAACAATAATTGTTTCTCATCATAATTATTGCGGGCATTTTAATAAGCTGCAGAACCTTCCGGAAATAAGTCTGCATATTTCGGATCACAGACATACAAATTCTTGTTCTTTTTCCACAAACCTCAATACTGTCACTTAGTCCAACTTTGTAATTACATTCGAGGAGTGCTTGGCAGCCCTTACGCGAAGACGGTTTCAAATCTCTCGATTCAACCGAACCGTCACCATAAAATTCAGTTTTCGAAGATAAGGTTTTTGAATTTTAAAGGAAAATGAATAATTACACACCGACCAAGTGGGCTTGAAGGAAGGAGCGTCCGCGACATTCATCCGGAACATCGCTTGATCATACGTCGACAGCACGGCCCGATTATGACTCCTGCGATACTCATTCAAGGCAAACAATCCTCCTGCAACTCCTCCGACAGCCACTGCCAATCCTGCTTGCTTGCTAAATTTCGATAATAGACTGACAGGAGCAGAAGTGGTGCCGAGTTGACGCCGCATTTCCACCACGGGTCGGCGGTTTCGCACGCCAACCTCAGCGATGGAGACCGCGAGTTTCGCGCAGCGATTCATCCCGAATTTAAAGCTAATTAGAAGAGAAGAAGCGACACACGATTCCACAACTGCGAACAAATGCCACACAAAATAATTTTAAAACGCAATCAAAGATGATAAATTCAGAAAAAAAGCTTGAGCGTTCCACGACAGTCTTGGAAAATTCCACAAATGAAAAAAATATTTCTTTCCAAAAAGAAGATCACATAAAACTTCTTCGTTCCACAGAAAGATGCGCGATTACAAAATAATTCTAAAGTGTTTAATTTAGATCTCTGATTTGCATAGGCATTGAGAGAAAATTTCAAAATGTAGCATTAAAATAATCCAGTGTTTAAATCTGACAAATGCATAGATGGTACACGAAGTTCTTAGTGTCATGGAACGCTCAACCTTGCACAGAAATGCTGTGATTTTCCCACAAATACGCACAACAACTTTACATTCACACACTCGCTGGCACTTTATTCCATGGCAAGAATTTAAAGTTCCACTTCTCGTAAAGCGACGGATGAACCGAACACAGGAAAAACGACAGGACTTCAAACAACAGTCAAATTTACATCTGAGATTCTTCTCCCTGTTAAATACAAAATAGAACGTTCTTCCTTCAAGGCTTTTTTCTGAACGGCTTTTGATCATCAACTCCGAAGGCCATTCAGTAAAAAAAAAGAAAACCCGCGAAATCAGGAACGTGCAGACACGAATAAAAAATTGCAAGAAAATTTCGTTGATACGGCGGGTAATTTAAAGCCAACGGGGGAATTCTGCAGGAAGCTTCTCTCCGCAGTTAAAAATCTTGCTTTTTTCTCGCGAAAGTCAAACGTTGCTGATTTTAAATATTCGTTCAGAAACGAATAAAGTTCTGAATAGAAACCCTGGCTGAGATACGCATAACCGAAATGAACTCCACGAAATTAAATCGTGAATGTAACACAATCTGAACTGAACCAACCGATCCCGGAAATGCTCGAGCATCGAAATATACCTTTGAAGTACAACTTTTCTTTTGTTTTGTTTGATTGTGAAGGAAAAAAAAGAACCCTCACTAACATATTACATTGATGATTGTTCGCACTGATCTGGTATCTCTTTTATACCCTTATCGATTCCAGTTTCTACTCCAGCTTCCTATTCCCCCTCAATTCGTGTTTCTACACTGCAATACATACGAATAAAATTTACTTCCTGAATATATTTCTCCCCTTTCGCTAAAGTGATGCTTCGACGGCCCCGATTTTCGCGAATGTAAAATATAGTTGTTCGTCTAGCTCACGGTCTGCTTGCTAGGATTCGCAGTTTGGTTCCATGTAGGGCGGATGGGGCGCGGGCGAATAGAGCTGGTGGGTGGTGCTGTTCTGCGTTGCTCAGTTGGGGAGATTATTTCGTTACCTCCGATGATGGGCGAGATTAGCATCACCAGGGAAGCTGGGAACCATCCCATTTTTCCCATGCATCTACCCATCCATTCCCCGGTTCCGTTCGACCACAACACTTCGATCGTGTCTCCTTTCTGAGGAGAAGACAAACGGCAAAAAAACACATTTTAAACATGAACACCTTAAATCAAGGGATTTCAATTGAAAGACCCTTTTAAAAAGTTTTATCTTGTATAAGGCAGAATTGTTCAGTAATAAATAAAAATTCAACGTTTCGCACGCAGATGAAACCATATAAAACGTCTCGATTCTACCAAAGCGAAAATGGTCAGATCTGCGAATAAATACTTTATTTTACTCTCACGGAAAAATGTGTCTTCGCCTGGACTCATGTGTCAAACCTTGGACTTCATCATTCGCATTACATTACTACATTTTGCGTTATTTTTCAATATTTGGTAGGCAACTTAATCTGAAAATTCATGAAACATTCAAGTTCGACGAGTAAATCTCAATTCATATTTACACAAAAATATTTTTTCACATCTTTTACTTCTTCAATCCAAATCTGCGAGCGCGAAAAACATGAGAGCTAGGATTCAATGTCCACGCGTTACAAATTTTCTTATTTTACATTTCAACCACCATGTGCAAGAAATTGGAAAGTTAGACACGGCTTTAATAAACGTAAATTTCAAAAATGGACTCTCTTTCTTGAATGCTGAATGTCTTAAATCAACTAGTCAAGGGTACATGAATAGCAAAAGGCATCGAACCGATTCGCTAAAAAAATGCATGACGAATCACAAACTCCTTTAAAAACCATCTCCGGGATCATTAACGAGTATTAAATAGAAAAAAATGGGCAGAGAAGAATGAAAAAGGTCATCATGACGAGGTTAGGAAGATGACAAGGAAAAAAAAATGTACATCGAAAACTGATTCAAGAAAATGATTCGGAAACTGGCAGTACGCAATATTTTGAATGAGAATGTAAAAAATGTCGAAATACGCGGAGTCCTCTTATTTCGAGTAGACGTCACTGGTAATGCCCAGGTGGGAGGCGACATGCAAACATCGCCATTCCTTAAAAGATAGCCCTTGAAACCCTGATCGCAGACCTAAACATACACCAAGCGTACACCAAAAGACAAGTTCACCTGAAATTCCAGCCTTCCTTGTTGCTGCATCCCTGGAACAGCGCTTCCAAATCTCGACGAACGCAAAGCCTTGGCATACGCAATAGGTGTAATATTTCCATTCGGAGACTGTTGCGGCGGAGAAACTGGTGCAGGCGAAGGAGGTGGACTCGCTGTGTCATCCAAAGCAGTTCTACGATAGCTCCACACTCCTTTGGTTCTCGTGGCTGCGTTACCACTACCGTCACGCTTCCTCCTGTCAGCTCCAAACACGGACATGCGGTCCTCAGAAAAGGAACTCCTTCCACTGCTGGGAGGCAATAACGGATGCGTGCCTACGACAAGAGAAACAAGATTATTAGGCATTCGGAAAGAACCGAGTCTGGGAAGATTCCCGCGAACTTTCAACTGGCCCAAGAGGGCCAGGTGATGGATTCATCGCGAACTTGAATTTTCCGTTTCCTCCAGCGAGATCCCCCTCTTTAAAAAAAGAGGGGGGTTTTCGGAGATTGTACTGTACTTTGAACTTTTAAGCCAACTTCGGATATTTAAGCCAACAAACATTTCGACGCTTGAAAATTTGTGGAAATTCTGCTGAGAAGTCTCTTGAAATGACTTACGCTTTATCACCCCGAAGGAAAATTTGAGCAAGCACTGTAAACATTTTTACACCACAAGTTTCTAGAAACTTTCGGAGCTCTCCCCACAACATCTCTGTAAATCAAAGCTTCTTCTCACACAAACTCCGTGTCCTTATTGATCGAATGTATCTGAAGACTACTCACTCGATCCAGACTCGGAAGGTGGACTGCTAGGAGGATTCATGGAACTGAAATTGGAGGTAGAATCAGAGTCAGTGCGTTCGTGCGCTACAGGCGAAACAGCCGCATTCGAAACGGGCAAGCGTTGCTGCTGGTGCTGATGATGATGTTGTTGCTGTTGGACGTGCGACGCAGGATATTTTTCTTTCTTCTTTCTTTCAATCTCCTTATACTGGAAAATAAAAGGTAACATTCATCCACTGATACTGAAAAATTTTTTTCGTATCACAGCGAAAGACTATCGCTGGAACCAAAAAATTCTCTTCAAAACTTCATGTCAAGACCAAGAATCATTCCTACTCAACCAACAACGAGTTGCAATCAACAGATTTCACCAGAAGAAGTCTCACTAATTACATTGAAGATTAGGGCGCAACAACTGCTAATCACGGACTATAAATTACAGTTGAACTTCAATAATTCAAACCTCCCTAGTCGAATTTTTTCCAACTCCCTGTCTGAATTACTTTCGAAACAATGCATTGAAAACCTTCCTAAGTTCAAGGCTTTTCCAAAAATCTCTGTAAGTCGAATTTTTTGTAGATGTTTTCGCAATTATTCTAACGGTACAGAAAAGAGAAAAGCAATCCAGTAATCTTCTTTCCCCCCAAAAAAAAAAGCTTTTTGGCCTCAGTCAAAAACACCATAACTTGAATTTTTCATCTGCTCCCCTGAAATTCGACTAAAAAACGGCCGACTGTATGTCAACGAATTGTCACTTGATGCTTAATAACATTGCACACTTCATGAAATAATCTTTTTTTTTCAAATTTTGAAAACTTCCAATTAGAGCNTTTCAATTAGAGCAAGACAAGAAAACCCACCCGATGAACAGCCTCACTGATGCTTATCCTTCCGGACGGATAGTACTCGACGTTTGGCTCAACAGAGCAACCAGTACAGGACATCATTTGGGCAGGAGCCCCAACCATTGGCACGGCGTAATGATGCCCATCATGCGTGCCTGGATCAGAATGTCTGTCATCACAGGCATCCAATGCATAATTTAAATTCCTCAATGGCATCCTCGGGGCTTCATTCCAGTCAGTAATCGTAGGTTGGATCAAAGGATCTGCAGCAACAGTCTGTGACAAATAAAGATAAAGTACTATTTAATAGTATCCCGAATACAGTAATGGACGCCTAGCATAATACAATCTTCACGAAGTGAACTTGAACTACCAAGCATTTTTTTCTTATTTCGAATAAGGGATCCTCTTCCCGATCAATGAAATCATGAAAAAATATTCTTCAAAAAATCAACGTTTTTTTTAGAAAGGGTTAGCAGCGTTATTTTTAATGTGGCTACATTATTCTTTTAATTTCATCGAGAATTTTTCGAGTTTCCGAACGTTTTCTTTTCGCAGCTGTTATTTTATACAGTACTGAATATAGTGCACATGTTTTCAAAAAAGTAATTAATTTATGAAATTTGATGTTTTAAACTGTGCATCACGTTCATTAACCGAGACTCATGATGAAGAACTTACATCATCAGGGCATCGTCGGAATCCTTCAGTTTCCCCAGCGGTTTTTTGCTGCTTCCCCCTTTTAACACCACTGGGGCCTTTTTTCGAAGCACGAAGCGTTGGGAAAATCCGCGCTAAGGCGGAATTGCGTTTCTTCGTCGCAGGATGAGCCCCTGAATTTGATGCGCACAAAGCATTATGCGCTCCAGCGGCATGCAAATGAGGGTGCATGCATTGTTGCATTCCTGAGGTTGCATTCCTTCCTTGAATTTGCATGGGATGAAGGCAAATGTTGCCCTGCGGCGCGTGCGACGGTCTTCCCGCAGTGGATCTTGGAGCTGCATTAAAAAATGACAGAAAATAGAAGCACACTATAAACCTTGCCAAATCCGTCAGTGGTCGCTTTTTCTAAAAAAAAATTCATTTTTATAATTTTATTCGTCACCGTTTCCACTAAGGTGCAAAATATCGCGATTCCCTGAATATTTACATTTTTCCTTACAACAATACCGGAGCTAAAAAAAAATTTCACACACTTCTCGGCTCATGAACCCCCGTCATCAGTAACATTTTTTCGAAGGATTGATTATCTGAAATCAAAAGCAAACTTTCGATTCAGCAAATAGAGGATTAAAATAACTTTTCTCTGAAATTCTAAGCACAAAAAATGCAGGACTCCGACCTGGATTCAGCCTTTGGAAATTTGAAAATCCGAAATCCTCCACTTCATTTCATATACCGCATTTCAATTCCAGTATAAGCGATGATCTTTTCAATACGAGATTAACGTAAGATCTTTTTTTATTCCTCGAAAGAAAACGTCATCTGCTTCTAAAATATGAGTAGATTCCCAATCGAACTTCCGACAACCTATTTATTTTGACGGACATTTAAATTACAACTTTTGCGCTTAGAAGTACAGAAGACATAATTTTTCTTCGACAACTTGTCAGGAAAGGAGCAAAAAGCATCTTACGACATACGCCGGTGAATAACTCTTCAATTTCTTTAAAAAATGAAACAAAAAACTCACGGTTTTGACAAGGATTCATCGAAGCAGCATGATCTCCACATCCCAGAGGATAACCACAATAACAAGCAGGAGGCATACACGGACTTCGAAGCCTACATTTTCGACGAAAGAGGAACAATGAAGTGAGATGAGTTACTTGAATCACGTATAAATGAAAGATATTTCACGTCACGATTTGAATGTCACGAAACTCACTCGGATTCATAGCCCCGTAAACCAACTTGATAGCAGATATCTCCCATTGATGAATAAGCTGCTGGATTGTTTGAAGAGAGACGCAACGGTGAAGGCGAGATGTAACTGCATCGGTAACGGTAAACATCATCCGCATCCATTTCGCTCAGGTATCCCGACTATTGAAAGAAGAGAAGAAAGAAATGGTAATTATTATGACACGCAACTTGTTCCCTCGATTGATGAACAAGGATCAACCGATGATCGAAGAATTCTTTTATGCAAGTAACGAAGAAATATTGCAGCATTGCTCTTCCGCTACAGATCCATCAGAGTTTCTCATCTCACCAACGGCAATGATGAGTTTCATTACATTAATCCTATAATCCATTCAAGATTTCTTGGGATTTTCTTGACGAATTTTAAAACTAATATGCGAAATAAATGAGTTGCATATCATGTATCATAAAATACAAAGAATATAAAAAAAGAAGGAAAAACAAAGCCCCAAGACAGAAAAACTACCAAAGCAGTTCTTTCTACTCGAAAAATTACGTAGGCAGTCAAATTTCCTCTAGTAACTATGCATTCTTGAAGAAAAATTCCTTTCTCGCCCATTATCCGATGCAAAACTCGATGAGTGACTGGCCTAGTCCAGCTCGGGAAAAATCTCTTATGCGAGGCGTTTATTATCCAGAGCATCACTTTAATTCATCCGATGAATAGCGTCCATTCAGTTACGCAAATTCTGCTGCGTCACCGGCAACCACACCTTAAAAGCGCTCAGAGCGGCGCCTGGGAAATTATTTAGAAAAAAAAATCCCCCTGCCTTCGGACTTCAACACGGGGTTTTACACAAGAGATTTTTTGCCTTTCTTTCTTAAATCTTTTCAACGCACAGAAAGGGTGATCCAGAAAAATCTTGACCGATTTCAATCAATAATTTTATGCAATACCAGATAGTCATTGTTCAAGTACTTCAAGGAATCCTTTCTTTCTTGTTGAGTTTGATAAACACACGGAGCTGAATTATGCCCATGTCGAACACAATAAAACGTTCAATTCAATTTTTGAATCGAGCATGACATCTAGGAAGATTTTCATTACAGTAGTTTGAAAACGTCCAATGATGTACGCGTCCCATTAACTGATTCGAAGACGGAAAAATTATATCTCGAATTACACCTACTTGACGACTTGAAAAATGCCACGAAAAGCTGTCCTACTCTCCGAAACGTTCAAGAACAGCAGAACAACTCAAAAATCAAGAAAACCAAAGCTTCTCGCATCAATCACACGAAACATTAGCAATTCCAAATTCAGTACTGTAGCTTCAAGTTACTCAGTCAACAGACTTCTTCCTCGAACGGATCAAGTCTTGCTTTTTTTAAAGCCCGACAGAAGGTACAGTGAATCGCAAATTTATTTATTGAAAAAAAAAAAGATAATGAACCAGAAAATTAAATTCACCGGACACTCACCAGATAATGCGCTTGACGAAACAATCGGCGCGAGTCCGGTTCAGCGGGTTGCTCATCTTTCCCACCAGTACCCTGCTGCTGACGATTCGGTGCCCCCAACCCGGGTTTACCATCATCCTTCTCTTCCTCTGCCTTGGCACCTTCGGATTTCGAACCCGTCAAAACAGTTTCTCGGCTTTCCGACAGAGGTCCTCCACTCGCACACGACGATCCAGAACTGGACACATCCGACGGATGATAATCATCTCTCGTTGCATTCGCAACTGGTTTTCTCTCATGAGGTAAAGGTGGAAGACACGTATTTTGCAAAGATGACACGGGAAGCGTTGGAGGCATTGGAGTAATTAACGGATCCGCAGCCACGGTTTCAAATCCGTTGGAGGTAGTAAAATGAGAGGCTTCCGCTTTCTTGGAATTCGAGCCCCTTTTTGCTACCCGAAGAGTCCTGAAAAACCGCGAAAGTGTCGAGTTTCTTGTTTTTTTGTTGATGGCGTGGGCCACGGGTTGCGGGGCTTTAGCTACGCAGTGCACGCAAGCACAAGGTTCCACAGGTGCACGACGATCGTCCAGTGGACCAGCCGAATTCGGGTCTCCACAGTTACAGAAGCATGGAGCACTCAGAAGTCTGAAACAAACAAAAACCGGAAAGTTTGATTCAAATCGTCCACTTGAATGAAGTAAAGAACTTCCTCATCACGGGAGGAATTATTCAGGAAGAGCATCTGAATACAGTAATTTAGAGAAGTTCAAATGAACATCAGTTCGTAAACGCTATTGTGCAGTGCAGTTATTCAGTATCTTCGGTCCTCATCGGGTCTTCAAGAAACGAATGCAGTTTCATCACCATTGATAATAGCTCAAGTTAAACTGCAGCACACATTAATCGACAGATCTACACATACTAAAAAATAGTAATATATTGTGAACACATCAGAATTATTGAGGAATACGGTAAGCATAAAATGGATAACAAATCATCACATGAAGACTGATGAAAAAATTTAAATTGCAACCTTATAGTGAAATAACGTACAGTTGGGCCTTGAGATGCGGACATGATTGGTTCTTGGACCTTGTCCCTATGTTGGGAAATATACATGTAAGATTATATTTTCCCGTAGACTTCAATGAGAACATACTTCATTGGTTCTCCCGTTCTTCGAAAATTTGAAGAAGTCACCCCAAAAATTTAATGAACATTTTTCTTAACTTCAAGATTGAGAAAACTACGGCGCTGAAAAAAAAACTACAAATAATTTGCCCTTTCAGCATGAAAAGGACCCCAAAAAGCAATGAAAGCAAGCATTTCGTTTCACTGTGCGCAGATGACTGGGGAAAACCCCTAAAAAGAGAAACATAAAACCATCGTACTTAGAATTCTCAAGTAAAGTGAATATATAAGATTTCGCTGGAATTTGTTTGAATATGAATAGCTTCTTCACGAGAATTTTGAAAAATAATTCTGGCAATGTCTATATCTTTAGTAATCGTCCGGATGTTAGGGCAGAAATTGTAAATTCAATTATCCGTAAGATGGAGCCCCACTGTACTGTTCATTGCGCTTCTTCATGGAAGATGAGAACCCAAAAGTTTAAAGTCATTTTAGAGAACGCAAGAGGGTCTTGCATTAAATTAAATACGGGGAAATCACTAAAATTTCAAGCATTTCTCACTCGTGACTGTACGATGGCATTCCCATGCCTGGACAGCAGACATCCGAAGTTCCAGTATAGGTATGCACAGGAGGTGGTCGACAACCCGGCATCAACAAGCTGTACCGGTATCCATATATCTCTTCTCCCTCTGCATCACTCAAGCAACTAGATGGCATATATTTTCCTGGATTGTAAAACCCATCTGAATTGCTGCTATCGCGACCACTTTCTTGATTACTCGGCTTCTCATGAGACTCCACTTGCAAAGCTGCTAATGAAGAAGCGGCCGACGATGAGCCCAAGCCATTTTCGGACTCATCAGATGGCTTCCCACGGGCTTTGTCCGACGCAATAGATTCGACTGAAGATAAACTGGCAGCTCCCTCGGTGTTCTGCGGTTTTTGAGCTTTCGTGGCTTCGCTCAGTTCGGCCATGCGACGACGAGAACGGAGACTTTCTGCCTTCTTTGCCCACACTTGCCCGCGGATTAGTTCGACTTTATCCAAAACATCGGCGTAAAAGGTCTGCAGTTGATCCGCGTAACGGGATGCCAGGCCTTCGATAGTACCAGCTTTCCCATCCTGGAATCAAGAGAATATTTTGTCAGGAACTCAAGACGTTGACAGAAATTGAGCTTACCGATCGCGTGTACGGAGGCACGGATAAATCAATGCAATCTTGATAAAGCAACTTCTCGATCGTTGCTTGCAAATCTTGCTCGTGCATCCGGTGACGCACAGGAGAGCCGTCCTTCGTTTGACCCACTTCGTCCGATTTTTCCTCACTAATGCGACACTTACACGGATCATTTGGTCCAGCTCCACAATCACACTTGCCACCTTTCTTCAAAACTTCTTCCAATGTGAAATAAACCGACGCAGCACCTTCTTCACGCATCAGACGCACCGCATCTAATATTGCGCTTCTGTGGGCATAGTTGAAAACCCCGATAGCGTCTAGGTCAGCGGGGCCGATCTGCTTGCAGATTTCGAGGTCGTCATAGCCATTCTCAATGAAGGATTCCGCGTACATCCGCAGCTTCAGGGAATGAAGCCAGTCTTTGACTATGTTTCCCATTCTTTACTCAAGTTCTATTCTCTTTTTACGCTTTCACGACATGCAGAAGTTATCCTGCACAGGATCCACTCGCGTAACGGCATGGAATGAGACACATTCCACAAAAGCCTAAAAACATAGACATGGCATTAACTTCCGACACAATGAAATCATCACTCAAAACACTTTTGCATTCAAGAGCATCATCCACCGGTAGATATTTTTGGATCAATTCGGTACAACTCTCCGGAGCTTCAATTCTAAAATCACATTTTGTTTTCCCTTCCTGCATCGAACCGATCGTCAAGATTCCCGCTCATCAAATCGATTGCGACTCGCATGATCAAAAGACCCACTTTACTATTCTACTGCAATTCACACAGAATCGTAACACTTTTCATATAGAAATTCCCATTTCCAGGATAAGGACTCCACAGTTCGGAAAAGTTACATCCCCTGACATCAGTTCACGACAAGCTTGAGACTACCACAAGCAGGTGGCCATACTAGCAGCGTTCATTAGGAGAGCTTGCGGCTTCTCACAGAGCGATTCTACAGTGTGCCTCAGAGGCATAATGAATGCTCGCATTGAGAAGCATTTCAATCAACATTTTCCGTGAACGTCACATAAATGAACGGTACGCGCAATCATGCGAAATAATTTTTCCCACGACTCTACAATTAGACTACAGTCGAAAGGAGAGCGGATGTACAGTACAGTACAAGCGTTGTCGTGCTATACAAGGGAACGCCCACACACAATGAGTGCCGGAATTCCCGCCACCCCTAAAAAACTTAAAACTTCAAGAGTGCAATTGTAAGGACAAACGCATGATTGAAGAGAAAGACCTTTTCTACTCCTTCGGAGCACATAAGCAAAGCATTAAAAAAAGCGGTTTAAAAACTGGATCACAAAGCTGCTGACATTTTTCAAACCCCTTGCATCATCCACTTTTCTGCTCCACCTCCGCAGTAAAACTGCGTGATTTAATTCCCATGCATTGAATAGACTGGTGTAACAGGGCACCAGCACACTTTTCACAGAAAATATACTTAACAAATTAATGAGATACAACACATCATCAGCAGAAAGCTGCAATAAACTGAATGTACAGTACTATACGTTATCAACAAATGGTAAAAGTATATCCACCTCCATTTCAAACTAAAAATTTACAAGTATTGCACATACAATACTCGTATTCAAAATAGAAGGCAAATTTTCAAAGAAAATCCTTCAACAAGAATATCGGTTTTAATTAAATTAGAAATTCTGAAAAGTTATTTTTCATGAAGAAAGGGCATAATCATTGCCATACTAGGACTTTATTCCCGGCAGTGACATAAGGCCACTGGTATATTCTAAATTGTGCAGCATTGTAATTTTTATATTTTATTTAAAATCATATTTGTAATAAATTTTGAATAAAATCATTATTTTCTGGAGTTTGGGTATACTTGACTCAACTATTCATAAATATAACTCAAAAATGCTAATTGAATTAGCTTCCTACTACATTTTCATTCTTTAAATAATTGCTTGATATGATCTAAATTAAATTCAAACTTAATCTCTAAAGGCATGTTCAATGTTCCTGTAATAAAAAAGCTCCAACTCATTCACATAAAGTAAAATGTATACTGATAAAAGCCTTAAGCCAAAGTCTATTTTATTAATGGAAGAAAAATTGATGAAATTTCAGTGGTATCCAGAGCCAATCAAATAATTCAGGCAGCAGTTGACTCTAGGCAATGGCACAGTATTGATGCATCAATATACAATAAGAAACCAGATACATCAATTTATTGGCACTGAATCATAGTTTTCTTGACTTATCAGTCAAAGGGGGCATTAAGTAGATAGTCCCCTCTGTGCAAAAAATAAATAAATCTGTTCATGCACACATCAAAATTCTCAAACTATATATTATTGAACAGTGTTCCTCAAGCTGATGTGGTCTGCTGACCATTGCCAGTCTGAAGAAGTTTTTTGCCAGTCTGTGGGAAACTTTCTTCAGCATAATAACTGTATCAAAAGTAGCAGTGAAGTCTGTTATCTTTATCTGAAATTTCAAAAAGACAATGACAGTTGAAATTATCCTAAGAAAAATAACTCAACTTTTTACCTAATAAAGTAATAATGCTTCAAAAAATTTGGCGTGCTGAAATAAATTATTTCCATTTTCATTCTGAGAAAACTTTCTTTAAGCTCACCTTTCTAATTTTTTGAAGACATTCCACCATTGCTGCTTCATTGTTTCTATACTTAATTTTTGAAAATGAGCAGAACCTTTTTAAATTCCTACCAGTCTTCCAGCATTTTTTTTAATCTGTAAACATTTGAAAAAACTTTGCCTGTCTGTAGAGAATTTTTTGGATTATTTTTTACAGTCTAAAAAAATTTTTATTGAAATTTGCCAGTCCGTGGGCAAAAAAGATACAGGATCACTGTTCGGAAATACTGTACATTGCTGGGAGTTTAGGATCACCAGTCAGCCCTCATACACCGTTATTCCGGCAGCAGTCCAATCACTTGTTATAGACTCTCATACTAACGCGTCATGTCCAATCCCAAATAACACATCCAATGCACCACAAGATGATCCTTAAAAAAAAAGGAGAAAGGAAACTATCCCACGGTGTT